CTCTCTCTCTCTCTCTCTCTCTCTCTCCGGAAAAGAAGCACAACGTCGATGTGTGATATATTTACACAATGCACGGGAATATATTTGTTTCTATGTCGAAAAATATATCTTTTTATGTATGACTTCACGCGAGATATATATATGTATATATATAAACCAAAATTCCATGACACACGTGCTTCGTTCACGGTAGACAGATTACGTTGCGAAATCAAGACGCGATTCACCTAAAGCGAAATTCTAAATTAAAAGAATAACATTTTCTCTCTCTCCCTCTCTCTCTTTCTTTCGCGATCAGTTCTCACTAGAAAAAAGAAAGGAGTCCGAGTCGAGACGTTGACGGTGGTTGCTCGCCCGCTTTTCGTTTCCCGTCCGCCCACACCGTACGCGGCCTGCCAAAAGCGGTCTTTTTGAGCAAAGCCACTGGGCAACGAGGACAATGCCGATCCATAAAGAATCACCATTTTTTCGAACATCGCACGATGCAACGCGCGCCAACCACCGACCGCTCTGGTCATCCTCCCCGAATACCCTGTTTATGTCTGCGTCATGCGCGAGAGAAAGAGAGAGAAAAGTAAAGTTTTTCATCAGCGGAATCGCGAACGAGCCGTGCCAAGAATCAACGAGAATTAAACCTAAACGCGATTTTATCCTATAAATATATTTATACAGTTTTTTCCCCCTAACTACAAACTATTTACATTATATAAATATTTTATATATATATACCGTACAATATATCTATATAAATATTTTCGTATGTTTAGTAATGTACAACTTTATATACACAATTGGACTACGGCTCGCTCGCAATATCATAGGTCGAATCGCATCTCGATTTCTTTTTCCTCTTTTATCAATGCGATAGTACGTATTCGCAATAAATATATATATATATATACCTAAAAACAGCTAAGTCTAACGACAATAGTTGACGTATAATATAGAATATATTTAATATATATATATGTACGCAGTAACGTAGCAACAACGCAGTGGTGACGATAGTAATAGTAATAGTAGTAATAGCGCTATATTTTCTAATATATATGAATATATAGTCGCACGGAGTGGTGTAGCGAGATAGTTAACTAGTCTGTAATCTCTATATGTGAACGTCACGGTCCTTGACGCGTGGTATTTAAAAAAAGGAAAAAAAAAACGAGAATAAATAATTCGAGGCAAGTAACGGTAGAAATAAATTAACGAAGCGCGAGACCGTGTTTAATTAAATATCTAATTTATACATATGCGAGGAAAATGAATACTCGTAATAAATACTCGTACGCGTCATCGGTCGCGGGCGATAATAATTTTCGTTCGAACACTACGTAAATTATACTATAAATAATAATCGCGCTGATGACGATATAAAAACGAATCGGCGATACGCTCGAGAGCGAATTTTACTATAGCGCCTCTTAAAGCTATCGAAAACGTCTATATTAATCTAGAGTCCCTTTTCACGGGCACGTAAGTCTTTCGCGGGAGGAAAAACGAAATTTCTCGTTTCCTATGCCCTTTTTTTCTTCATCGCTACCACTTCGAACGAACGGAGGAAGGAAAGTGCGAACACCGATTTCTGCGATATTTCCCCAAGTCATCTGATCGCACACTCGAATCCGCGAGGGTCAGACGACAAGAAGCGTAATTAAATGAGTGAAAAACGCCGTGGTAAGACAACAATATTTTCCCCTTTTATTCTATTTACGTATCTATTATGTTACAAGGTGCTTTTACGCGGCCTGCTCTTCGTAGAAACGCGTTTATGATATTTACAGAGAATATTTATGAGAAAAGGGGCTGAGAATACGAAATACGCGAAGAGGGGGGAGGGAGGGATGATGATGATGATGAACGACATAACGAAAAATACTGTCTGTACACTGCGAAGAGAGCAAAGATCGCCCGGAACGTCGCGAGATTCCGAGGATCCTTTACAGGCGACGTAAAACGGTTTCTTTAAAGCTGCGTAGTGTCTCGTTATCTTCCACGGCGTTTTTCGTTTTCTTTTTTTCCCATTTTTTAGCTAAATTGACGTCTAAGCTCGCGCGGCGATATTACCGCGCGCAGCTTTTAATTTCACCTAAATACGCATCGTTTTATCCGCGTGTGTGGAATTGGACTATATTTAGGAATAAAGTACTACAATAGCGTCGTGCGAAGCGTGTTTTGCGCGACCAAGGGCGCCTCCGAACGGGCGGATCCTTCATTCCTTTCTGGGACACAATTCGGTCTTTTGCTTTTCCTTTTTTTAATTTTTATTCCTCGAAAGCCGATTCGCGTGGAAATTTCTGCTCGTATCGTGGGATCCGGATCATGCATATCGCAAGAATTGTAAACATCGAAATTTACGGGTGCGTGAACTTTATTTTCCTTTGCCTCGGGGCGACCTCGATCTCACGCGAGTTACGTCACACGGCAACAGGCGCTGCGAATACACAGCCGAAGCCTTGGCTAAAAATTTCTCTAATCCTCCGTCTACTCTTCGCGCACGCATCGTGCGGTTTTCGCGCGTGGATGATGCGATTCTCTCTCTAAAAGGTCGTCAATAAATAGCGAACGTAAGTGATAATGGACACCGCGCGACGGTGACGTTCTCGATGACGGAGGTAGAAATTTTTGCTTAATGAATTTCTGCCTATAAACTGTACAGAGCGCACCATTCGGAATGCGCGCGATAAGTCTACTAGTTTACTTTTTACAATACGGGCTAATACGTGAACAATCGATTCGCCAACTCTTTTCGTCGAGAACAGATCGACCTTGGCGATAGATAGCCACTCGCGGACTTTACCACTTATTATGTGTTCTTTCTTTTTGGATCGCTCCAGTTTTCATTTTAAGCAGTGGTCATCTCCTGCAGGCCGTAACAGTGGACTCGCGTCTCCTCGATTGCTCTGCACCACTCCAGTGCAAATCCCTCGGGATCTTCGAGATAGTATGTCCTGTTCGGCTATAAACGAAAACATCAAAGTTTAGATATATTTGATATGTATACTTCAAATATATCTTCCATTTTTATATATAGAAATTGAATAGAAACGGAGACATCGAAAGGTGATGTCTCCCGATTTTAATCTCCATCCTTTTGTCAAAAAAAAAAAAAAAAAGGTACAAAAGGTATCGAATGCTCAATAATTTACTTTAACAATATTTGAAAACACTTACCGTATGGACGAAGAAGATCTTGAAATTCTTTGGCTCGACCCTCAGTTCTGGACTCCAGGGTATCTCACCCTTAAGAACATTATTAAAAGGATCGACGTAGTATAGATGTGGTCCGGTGGTAAGGAGGAGCATTCTCCGCCTGGCGAACAGGCCCTTCCTCTTATTGACGAAGCCCTGTTTCAGTATAAGATTGCCCTCGACGAAAGAGTGCCACTGATTCGTGGTGCGCTGTTTCTCTAGTCGCATCCTGATCTGTTCCGGTGTCAAATTGGCGATGTTAGCGCCGCTGTCGGATCTGTTGTTAGTGCACCTCCTCAGTGGCTTGTCCACGCTTGCGATTATCTCGTTGAAGAACGCGTTAACAGCGCGTTGCTCTGCGCCAGTACTGTTGTCATCATCGGTGTCTTCGGTACTCAGCCAGAGAAGCCTGGTGAGTTGTTTATGGTCCAGACCGGGTTCAAGATTATCAGGCACCCTGTATTGCGACCTCAACTCTTCTCGTTCCGACGTTCCGGGCAAGTACGGATAAATAGGCGGCGGTGTCTGCTCGTGAAGGGTCTCGAAGTCGACACCCTCGAAGAAGGGATGCGCCCGTATACTGGGATAACCAGCGCCGTGCTCGTCCAGAGCGCCCAATCGTTGCGTCGGCTCCAAAACGAGAAGCTGATTAACGAACGATCTGGCTAATTCACAGAAACCGTCCGGTATATCATACTCGAGTTTCAGGATCTTCTGGAACATCACGTACTCGCTCCTCGAACGGAAAGGCGGCAGACCAGCGACCATCTGGTAGACAAGACAGCCCAGGGCCCAGAGATCGGACGCTCTGCTCACGCTATTGTTGGTCAGCAGCTCTGGTGACACGTACTGAGCGGTACCGACGAAGGAACCGCTGCGTTCCCTAAAACGCTGTTGCTGTTGAGAGTCCGCGTCCGCGGGCGTCTCCGGGTCGTCCTTGAGGATCTTGGCGCAGCCAAAGTCGGTAATGAGCACGTGCATCTTCTCGTCCAGCAGGATGTTCTCCGGCTTGAGATCTCGGTGAATGATACCGAGCCCGTGCAAATATTCGAGACCGCGTAGGATCTCGGCCGAGTAGAACTTGGTGCATTCAATGTCGAAGGAGCCCACCTTGTTGATGTGAGGCAAGAGCTCGCCGTTCTTAGCGTACGACATGACAAAGTATAGTCTCTCCGCGTCCTGGAAGGTGCAGAACAGTCGCACGAACGAGTGTTTGGCGTCCGCGAGCATGTTCAGCACCTCCTTCTCGCGTTTCACGTACTCGGTCTTCTTCTGCTTGATTATATGACTCTTATCGCACACCTTAATCGCGTACTCCTTGTTGGTGTGGATATCCTTGGCAAGATAAACCTGTCGAATTGAAAAATTACAGATTCGTTATCCTCTTTTCGTATTTCTTGTTAGAAAACATTTCAATTTACGTTCGCATTAAGAAATTTCTTTCTTGATATAATATAATTAAATTAAATTTATGAAAACAATGAAGGGGAGGAGACTTACGGTGGAGAAGCTTCCTTCGCCGATCACCTTGCCGAAGATGAAGTCCTTCGGGGTACGCTTGTGCGTCGGTGGGTTGGTGAGGGACGGGTTCGTGGTCGGTGGAACCCGAGGCGCCAGGGTGCTAGGAGACGCTACCACACCGTTGTTCACGTCGTTCGTCGGTGGAGACATTTTGGACACCGGCCCCTCCACCGTTACTGCCGGCTGTGGCGAAACGGTAAGCGCCTGGTTCGCCACACGCTGCAAGAAGAAACACGACTTGTAAGACACACTGTCCGTGATCGTCTGACTATTCTACTACTTTCTTGCGCGTCGATAACGAATCGTTAAAATAGAATCTATAGCCTTATCGTTTCATGTAACTTTCTGCTGGTAGTGTTATAAATTTGATAAAGTGTCAAGTCAAGAGATCACGCGAGATCGAAAATAAACGTCGCTTCGCTTCTAATCGCGGAATTAATCTAAAATTGAGGTAGGTCTAAAATTCTTCGATCGTTTCCGAATTTAATTTAATAAAAAAAAAAAAAAAAAAAAAAATGAAACAAAAG